TGCTGTCAGGTGACTGTGTGGTCCAAGGGGTACCTGAAGGAATTTTGTGGTCCATGGGGTAGCTGGAAAAATCTTGGGGTACCTGGAGAAACCTTGTGGTCCATGGGGTGCCTGGAGTAATTTTGTGGTCCAAGGGGTACCTGAAGGAATTTTGTGGTCCATGGGGTAGCTGGAAAAATCTTGGGGTACCTGGAGAAACCTTGTGGTCCATGGGGTGCCTGGAGGAATCTTATAGTCCAAGGGGTACCTGGAGGAATCTTGTGGTCCAGGGGGTACTCGAAGGAGTCTTGTGGTCCATGGGGTACCTGGAGGGATCTCGTGGTCCAAGGTGTACTTGAAGGAGTCTTGTGGTCCATGGGGTACCTGGAGGGATCTCGCTGGGTTTGGCTCCACCTGAGTTTTCCGTTGCTTAAATGGTGTTAAAAAAAGAAGGAGAGATTGTAGTTACCCCCAAAGGACTGTGGCAGTGATGGTTTAAGGACGGATAGGTGAGGTGGGACCTCCATCCCGGGACAGGACCACAACCACCACACTCATCCCCGCCCTGCCCCACTGCCCACAGCTGACCATCATCTTCAAGAACATGAAAGAATGCATCGACCAGAAGGTCTACCAGGCCGAGCTGGACAACGTCCCCGCAGCATTCCAGGACGGCTCCGTCAACGGCGGCGCGCGCCCGGGCGGGAGCAGCTTGGCCATCCGGGAGCGCAGCCCCGGCCGGCACGTGGAGATCCGCGCCGCCTACATCGGCACCACCATCGCCGTGCGCCAGGCCGGCCGCCAGCTCTCCTTCTCCATCCGCGCCGCCGAGGAGGTGGCCCGGGCCTTCACGGAGGAGCAGGACCTGCAGCTGTGCGTGGGCGGATGCCCCCACGGCCAGCGCATGTCCCGCAGCCCCCGCGGGCGCGGCCGCGTCCCCGCGGAGACGGCGCGAGCGCTCTGCCGCGAGATGCTGCCCGTGGAGGACGTCTACTTCCAGTCGTGCGTCTTCGACGTGGTCACCTCGGGGGACGCCAACTTCACCATGGCGGCGCACGGGGCGCTGGAGGACGCCCGGCTCTTCCTGCCCGATGCTGAGAAGATTCACATCTTCCAAGCTGGAGGAGGCTGCCAACTCAGCTCTCCGTCGTTTCTCCTCCTCCTCTTCCTCCTCCCGTGTGGACTTTGGGCTGCTTTGTTGCACTTTTAACCCCTGCCTGCTCCGTAGGGAGCTGCTGGCTCCGAGCTGCAGCCAGGAGAGGTTCCTCGCCTTGAAGGAGGTGTCTCAGAGACCCGAGAGAGGGAAGAGGTGAACCCCTGGTTTGCACCCACTGGTCTCACACGGATGGTGAAGCTGCTCCCAGCTCCTCTCGTGAGGGCAGTTCCAAAGTTTTCTGTTCCGTTCTGACACGTTCCTTTTCCCCTAAGGATGAGTCATTGCAGTGCCTCAAAGAAAACTAAACCCCCTGGGTTAGAAAGCCCCTCTGTCCCTCAGAGCCCTTCCATAACTCACTTCCCACCTTTCCCCATGTTAATCCAGCAGAATTCCACTCAGGAACCATATAAACCCAGAAACGACGGACTCAAAGCCCAAAGACCAATTTTTAGCAATATTTTTTTTTTTTTTAAATGGATTTGGGACCTTTCACTCAGCTGCTCCCAAAGCAGAGCAAGGCCACAAATCATTTTGGGGAGCGTTGTGACCAAGAGGGAGACTTTTGAGTAGAAATCAGACGGTTTTGTCCAGGTGCTCTTCTTCCAGGATAAATAACAAGTGGATCTCCAGCAGTGGGAGCTGTGGAGCTTGGGACCTCCCACATCCCAGGCCACTGTTGCTATTTTTCCTTGTTTTCTTGGCACCTGTTGTGGACTGATTTTAGCCGGGTCTGGACTTGAGACTGGTGTCAGGTTTTAGAGAGGACAAAACACCGCTTGGGAATTCTCTCCCTTGGGCCCAGATTCTCTGTTGCTGCTGAAATCCAACCCAAAGTGGAGCTTTTGCTTGGAAAAACAGAATTCCTGATGGCAGAGAGCCAGCTGGGCACACAGATGGGCAGGGTATTGCCCCGTGGAAGGTGCAGAACTGCAGAGGGGAGGGCAAATTTCACATATTTCTGAGGATTTCAGTAAAGCAGATGGAGTTCTACAGGAGAAATCTTTTCCTTAGGGAAGACTTTCCTTTATTTTTAATAAAGTATTAAAAACTTGGCCATCCTTGTCCCACAGAATTGCAGGAAGGGCTTGTGGACGTGGGGGAAAGGGAATTTCCGCCCCTCCAGGCACGGAGGCTCCACCAAGGGAGGTTCTGCAATTCATGTTTCAATACATCCACGGGATTTTCTCTCTCTTTACTCTTCTGTGCCAAGAGCACAAAGAATACACAGGAAATAATTCATGGATTTCACTGTGAATTCCCCCTCAGATGGGTGCTCAGAGCACACAGTCACCAGCAGGAAACCTGCTCCATGCTTTTCACCCTGCTTCTGGTAATCCCCGAGGGGTTTGACATTAAAGGGGTCTATTTTTGAGTCCCCATTTCCTGTCATCTGTCTCTTCACATCTTTGGGTGGCAGTGGCAGATGAGGATAAGAATATCTCCTTCCTCCCTTGCTCCTCTGACTCCAGAGCTTTGGGTGGATGGAAAGGGAAGCAAGCTGCTTCCTGATGTGCTCCACGTGTCCCTTTGGGAGGAAAATCATCAGGGGAGGAATAAAATCCTCTGGGGGGGATAAAATAATCCGTGGGGAGAATGTTCTCCATAGGGATTAAATGCTCTTTAGGGATGAAATCCTCAGGAGCAGCGTTGGTGGTGCTGGAGCTCCTGGTGGAAATGGGATGGATTTGATGATGCAGGACATAATTGTCCTTTAGTTGCTGGCCTGTAGAGCCATCCCACAAGAATTCCATGGGGAAAGGAGAGTTCCCTATGGAATTAGACCTTCCCTCCTCCTGAACAGCCAGGCCATCACCTGCACCGCCAGCACTGGGCCTGGTGCTTTCCTTGCCAGCCCTTTGTCAGGAGCCACCTCTGAAATTTAGAGAGCAGCTCCCAAACTGAAAATGTCCAGGAATTCTGATTTGGAGAGCTCTGGTTCCAGCTTTGAGGCTCAGCAGCTCCACCCAACCCAGACTTACACCAGGAGTGGCCCAAGGTGGGCACTTCTGACAACTGGATTCCAGCCTGGAGGAGCAGTGGCTGATGAATTATGGACTCATTAAGGTTGGAGAAACTTCTGAGATCATTAATCATTAACTCTCCCGCAGCACTGCCAAGGCCACTCCTGACCCATGACCCCAGGTACCACATCCACTTGTTTTTGAACACATCCAGGATGGTTCATTGCTCCATTCCAACGTCTGACCTCCTTCCCACCAACACAATTTCCAAAAGATCCAACCTAATCCTTCTCCTGAGGCCTCTTCCTCTTGGGAGACCACCCTGAACCCCCTCAGCTCCAACTATCCAGGGCACCTGGGAACTGAACCAGCCCAAGCAGGCTCTGCTGGAGCTGGATGGAGTGGCTGAGATGTTTTTTAGCAGGTGACATCAGCCAGGGAGGGGAAGGGTCGATCCAAAGTCCGCTGACGTCAATGGAAACAAGCTTGTTGACATCAGCAACTTGGACTGGCGCCGACGTTCTGCTCCTCGATTTGGGGTGGGGGAAGAGGTCTGGTCCTGCCTCAGTGTGGCTCTGAGGAGGAGCAGTGTGGAATGATTTGGGAATGGGCCAGGACCATGCCATGCTTGGCACGTTTTCCCCATTTGGCTGAACCCCTGCATGGCTACGGCTCGGGTTTGAGCCTCTGCAGGGTGTCCAGACGAGGTGGTGGCCCTGTGACACAGGGGACATGGTGGCCCTGTGATGGAGTGAGGTGGTGGCCTGTGACAGAGGAGGTGATGGGTGGATGATGGATGGATGGATGGATGGATGATGGATGGATGGATGGATGATGGATGATGGATGGATGGATGGATGGATGATGGATGGATGGATGGATGATGGATGGATGATGGATGGATGATGGATGGATGGATGGATGGATGGATGATGGATGGATGGATGATGGATGGATGGATGGATGGATGGATGGATGGATGGAGAATCCTCTGCCATTCCAAGGAAAGCCTCTAGATGTCTAGAGAACCCAGCTGTCCGGCACAGCCAGAGCTCCAGAGTGCCAGGATTTCCACCCCAAAACAACAAGGAATCACAGAATTCCATGTTTGTTCAGCTGCAAAACACCTTCACGATCATCTTGCTCAGGGCAGGGACACCTTCCAGACACCAGATGGCTCCAAGTCCCACTTCTCCTCCCCGAGCTGACACTCCCAGCTCTTGCTCGCGGCCTCGGAGCCCTTTCAGCTGCTGGAAAGGAGGACAATTCCACATTTCTTTGCTGTCTGAGGGGCTCCAGGGGCTCTGCCAGCAGCTGGGGGAAGCCCCCTCTGATGTCACTGCCTCTTCCTGCCAGAGCAGATGACAAACACGGGACCTTGCAGACCCAGGACCTGAATTCCTCCTTGTTTACGGACGGCTGAGCTCTTCTGGAGCCTTATCTCCCCCTCCCTGCTCCAAAAATCACTTTCTGGGCAGAAAAGAGGGGAAGAAATCCCACCTGGATGGAGACCTGCCAGGCTGGGGGAGCTTCCACATGCCAGTCTCCTGTGGGAGCTGGAAAAATGAGATTTCAGGGGGGAAAAAACCCTCCTGTGCAAGCCCTGAAGGAAAGGGAAAAGGGTATCTCGATCCCTGTCCCTGCAGAATCTCAAACGTGGGGGTCAAAAGCTCTTGCTGGGAACAAAACAGCAAAAAAAGGGGAATTTTTGGCAATTTTTTTTTTTACTTTGAGAGGTGTTTTTAAAAATTTTTACTTTTAGTTTTCTGAGAAGGGTGAGACAATGGAGATGTTATAAACAGATGTTAAAAAGCAATGTTATAGAGATAGATAAATGTTATAAATAATAAATGGAATAGAAATAAATGTTACCAAAATAGATGTGATAATTTATGTTATTACAATTAGAAGTTAACTATTTTTTAATTATAATATATTATAAGCGCTTTTTGGTTTATTAGTTGCAGTTACACTAGGTTGTAAATGCTTTAAAGCTAATCATTTGAAATTACTCTTTGTGGGGTTTATTATCATGTATTTTTATAATTCTATTTTTAAATATTATAATGTATTTTTATACTTCTGTTTTTTAAAGTATTTACTTTTATTTTTTGAAACTTGCTTTTAGTTTAATTTTTTTTTCCTTGACAACAAAATAACTTTAATTCTTAGCTTTATTTCATGCTATTTCTAAGTCAGTATTTCTCATTTTTAGGTTTTTGTATGTGAGCTTTCTACTAGGCTCTGTGTTTCCTCTTAGCCTCTAAATTCATTTCCCACGTTGTGGCACAAGCAGCTGCTTTCCAGGAGCCACTCCAGTCCCAAAATCTTTTTTTTTTTCCCTCCCATCTGGGCTCTGTTCCCAACACTCCCAGTGCACAAACAACCGGAGGAAATGCCTTTTCCACCCCAGCTGTACACTCCGTCCCCGCACTGTGGATCCCTCCCTGTGCCCCTCTCTCCCCCCCCTTTCCCTTTCCCAGCCTGGAACATGCTGGAAGGATCCATATAAGGTGAGAAATATGGAATAAACACCCCAGAGGAGCCGCAGGGCTGCTGGAACCTTCCTTCTCCCCAACGATCTTGACCGAATTCTGCTTTTCCGACGGCAAGGACAAAGGCCGGGCTGGCCCCGCGAGCAGCGTGGCTTCTCCTGGCAGCCAACCCCGACAACCTGGAGCAGAATAAAACACGGATCTTATCAGCACTTATCAGAGAGCTGTGCTGGCAAAAACAAGCCTGCGCCGTGCCCAGTTCCTTCCTCGGGACCTGTGAGTCACCCCAGGGCCCCATTTCTGCCTCTGTGGCTTTGGAAGTGGGTTATTCCCAGGCTGAGTCGGTCACAGCCGCCTGGACAACTCTTTTCCCTGTGTGAGAGCTCCAGGGAAAATTGTGGATCCTGCTCTTCTCCCCATCCCTGCAGCTGGGGAACCTCTGATCCATGGGAAAGCAGCTTGGATAGGGAGGAATGCCTGAAATAAAAATTTAGTGTGAGCAGGTTGTTCCTGCCCAGCGCTGCTGGTGATCCCTCTCTTGATTTTCTTGGTTTTGAAGGAGATTTGATAATGGGAAAGTTGGAAAAGTGAAAATCCTGACTCCCTCCCAGATCCATCCAGAATTCCTGGAGCAAGTCTGACCCTCGAGGGAATTCCAGATTTCCACGGGATTCAGGGCTAAGTCAGTCACAGCTTGGATAGGGAGGAATGCCTGAAATAAAAATTTTGTGCTGCAGCTGGGGAACCTCTGATCCATGGGAAAGCAGCTTGGATAGGGAGGAATGCCTGAAATAAAACTTCGGTGACAGGAGGTTGTCCCTGCTCAGAGATGCTGGTGATTCCTCCCCTGCTTTTCTTGGTTTTGATAGTGGGAAAATTGGCTTTGTACAAGTGAAAATCCTGATTTTCCCCCTCCCAGATCCACCCAGAATTCCTGGAGCAAGGCTGACCCTCGAGGGAATTCCAGATTTCCACGGGATGGAGGGCAGGGGGGGAAAGGGCAGCACTGACTGACAGGTCTGGAGGAATTCCGGGAGGAAATTTGGGATGTGGAACGTGCTTGGGATCATATCCCTGACGAGTTCTTTGGCGTGGGGCTCCAGGGCCCTTTGGCTTCGCTGGAATGTGTCTGAGGGGATGGATTCCTTGGAAAGGGATGGGAATTGGAGAGGGAGAGCGTAAACACGGCTCTGACAGGGGTCAGATCTCACAGATCAAATATCCCACGGCAGGGAAAGCTGGAAAAAGCTCCCCACCTTTCACCAAATTATAATGATTATGTTAATTCTATTGAATAAGGAAAGAAATGAATGAAATATGAAATAAATAAATAAAAACCTAAAAATATAGAAAAAATATAGGAAATATAGAACATATATTTAAGTATATTAAATAAGAAAATAAATAAATAAAATATGAAATAAATAAATAAAAACCTAAAAATATATTAAAATATAGAAAAAAATATAGGAAATATAGAAAATATATTTAATTATATTGAATAAGAAAATAAATAAATAAAATATGAAATAAATAAATAAAAACCCTAAAAATATAGCAAATATATTTAAATAAATGAAATTTAATTATAACAATTATTAATTTAATTCTATTAAATATTCTCCATTAACCCACCACCTTTTTCCCTACTGGGAGACAACAGGGACTAGAGGAGAAAGGGTGTAATTCCTCCATTCTGCCCCGAAGCAGGGAACAATTCCCCTCTCCAGGAGGAATCCTGTCCCGTGGCCTGGCAGGGGGGCAGTTTCTGCCCCACGGTTTCTCCCGAGCTTTATCGGTTTATCCGATCAGGTGTGAATTAACTCCGAGGGGATGGAAGGGCAGGAAAAGCGCCAGGAGCAGCGGGACAAACAACCTCTGAAGGACAACTCAGGGCAGCCCCATTTCCCACCGCCGGGCATTGTTCTGCTTCCTCTGCTCCCCGTCCTTCCCCGAGCCGGGAAAACACCAAAAAATAAAGGGGAAAATAAAAAGTGAACTCTGGTGCTGGAGTAGGGCTGGTCCAGGGAGGGAAATCTGATGGTTTCTGGGGAGATAAATCTCTTTTGGGGAGGGAGGAATGTTGTCCTGCTGCACAAATCCCAGCTGGAAAACAGGGCCAGGGGTGGTGGGCGCTGGCTGCAGCGCGGGGGGGTTTTGGGAGGGGTGTTTTGGGGGAGGGGGAAGGGGAAGTGTCCCCAGGACGGAGTGGGAAGCAAAAAACATTCCCACAGACACACCAGGAGGAGGGAGGGAACCCCCGAATTCAGGTTTTGCTGTTGAACCCCCAAACTCACCCTTATTTACCCCAAATAATGGGGGGCAGTGTGTGCAGGGGGGGCCAAAAATAGCAGCGAGGTGGTGGGAACACCCCAACAAATACACAACAGGAAGGGACGGAACCCCCAAATTCAGGTTTTGCTGTTGAACCCCCAAACTCACCCTTATTTACCCCAAATAATGGGGGGCAGTGTGTGCAGGAAGGGGGGCAAAAATACCATAGAGGGGGTGGGAACGCTCCCAAAAACACACCAGAAAGAGGGAGGGAACGCCCAAATCCCAAATTCAGGTTTTGCTGTTGAACCGGGGGGGGGGGGGGGGGGAGCCAAAAATACACAGAGGGGGCTGAGGGAACCCCTCAGAAGCAGCTGCAGGGACTCCAGGGGAGGGAAGCAGCAGAGAGGGGAAAATCCTGCCCAGGGAATCCCCCCATTTCCACCGGACCCCAAATCCGCCCTAATTTACCCCATTTAACAGGGGAGGGTTCACCGGGGGGGGGTGAAGTTGGGCAATGGAGGCGCCCCCACCAAGGGGGGTGGGGAGAGGGATTCTGGGGAAGGAGGTGAAGCCCCCCCGCCCCTCAGGGCCCGGCCCGGCCGCTCCCAGTCCGCCCAGTACAACGCGGCCTGTCCCAAACTGGGAGCAACACCCCCGTGCTCCCCCCCCATGGGAACATGACATCGTGTTCCGCGCTCGCCATTGGCCAGAGCCGCCGCCCATTCTCGCCCCCCATTGGCCCTCCGAGCTGTCACTCCGCCCCCGTCCGTCCCGCCCCACTGAACACGCGCGGCTTTCCTTCACCCGCTGTCCACGCTCCTCTGCCGCTGCTCTGATTGGTCAGTGCTGCCGTAAACAAGGCAGCGGCGGCCAATGGGAGCGCTGATCACGCGAGCAGCACGCCTGGCCACGCGCCCTCGGCGTGGCGGCCCAGGCAGCAACAGGCGCGGGCGGGGGTGGGCGGGGTTCCCGAGCCTATAAAAGGCAGCGGCGGCAGCGGCTCCCTCAGAGCGCTGAGGTCCCGGGGCAGAGGCTCCTGTGGATACTTCGCAGCGTCTCTAAACAAAGCGTTCAGCCGCTTTTTATTTTTTTTTTGTCTGGGGTGGATTTTTGCTCGTCTACCCTGCAGCCGTTGCTTGATCAAACCCCTCGTCCTCCTGCTGCCCCAGCCATGGTGATGTTCAAGAAAGTGAAGAACTTCATGGTGGCCTTCAGCGAGCCCGACAAGGTCTACTGCAGCGGGGACAAGGTGGCCGGGCGCGTGCTGGTGGAGGTGGCCGAGGTGACCCGCGTCAGCGCCGTCAAGGTGTTGGCATGTGGCGTGGCCAGGGTGACCTGGGCCAAGGGCCCGGCCCAGTGCCGGCAGGAGATGGAGTACCTGCGCTTCGAGGACGTGCTGGCGCTTGAGGAGCAGCCCACGGGTGAGAGCACGGCGCTGGGAAGGGGACGAGGGTAGCTTTAAACCCCGGTTCAAAAGCCCGGCCCAACCCAGGGGCTGGCCACAGAAGGGGTGTGGAGGGGCTGGATGGGGGTAAAGGGGTTTGGGAGGGGTACCCCTAGACCCCAGTGGAGCCCCTTGCTCACAGAGTTGATGCTGTGTTTGGTGCTTGGAACAATGACCAAATCTAGGAAAACTTCGCTGTGTTAGAACTTTGGCCGAGCCGAGTGGAAGTTTGGGAGCTAAAGGACGAAATCAGAGCCTGGGCAGCTCCTGTGGCGTGTTCTGACCCCACGGGGGTTGGTGGCACGGCCAGGGACGGGCGCAGGATCACACCCTGGGGCTGGGGCTGCGAGATAAGGGGGAGCTGGGGCTGGGGTGGAGCCGCCGAGACGCCCCGGGGTGTTGGTGAGGTGAAGGCAGAGAACACGGGGTTCCCGGGGTGTGCACAGGTGTTAGCCAACGCCCCTGGAGCTGAGGCTCACCCTGGAGCTCCAGCTGATGTTTCCCTGCCCTTCCTTCCTCCAGACGAGGACGGCTCCGTCATCCTGAGACCCGGCAACAAGTACGAGTACAAATTCGGCTTCGAGCTGCCCCAGGGGTGAGTACGAGGCAGCAGCTGCCGCTGGGGGGTGGAATTAAACTGGGAAAGCCCTGTCTGGGCTGCGGAGTGACCCCCTGCGTGTCTCCAGGCCGCTGGGCACCACGTTCAAGGGGAAGTATGGCTCTGTGGATTACTGGGTGAAGGCGTCCCTGGAGCGCCCGGCCTGCCCCACGCAGCAGGTGAAGAAACGCTTCGAGGTGATGGATCCTGTGGATGTGAACACCCCAGAGCTGCTGGTGAGCTCCTTTCCCCTCCAAAGGCTCGGGGGAGCAATCCCTTGGGGAGGGTCAGCCCAAGGCAGTGGCGCCCAGGTGTCTTTAATCAGATCTGGGCTGAGGGGGAATTAAGGGTGGGATTAAGGAGTCGGGGATAATTCCAGAAACTGAGACCGGCTGGGGTGTGTTCTGTTCTCCAGGGGAATTCGGGGGTTGGTTGCAAAAAGGGAAGGAAGGAGAGGAGGAAGGAAGGGTGGAGGGGTGGGAAGGACAGGATGGGGCCAGCGTTCGAGCGTTCCCTCTCCCCACAGTCTCCAGTGGCAGCCAAAAAGGAGAAGAAAGTGTCGTGCATGTTCATCCCCGACGGACGCGTGTCCGTCAGCGCCCAGATCGACAGGAAAGGCTTCTGCGAAGGTGAGGATTGCTGGGGGCAGAGAACTGGGAGCGGGGAGCCCGCGGGGAAGCCCCGAGCAGCCCTGACGTGAGGGCCCTTCCTCCGGCAGGCGACGAGATCTGCATCAACGCCGACTTCGAGAACACCTGCTCGCGCATCGTGGTGCCCAAGGCGGCCATCGTGGCCAAGCACACCTACCTGGCCAACGGGCAGACCAAGGTCTTCTGCCAGAAACTCTCCTGCGTCCGTGGCAACCACATCATCTCTGGCACCTCGGAGTCCTGGCGCGGCAAAACCATCCGTGTGAAGAAGCTCAAGCCCTCCATCCTGGGCTGCAACATCCTGCGGGTGGAGTATTTCCTGCAGGTGAGCCTTCATCTTCCTCCTCGTCCTGGGGATCCTCTTCCTCCTGGGGTCCTGTCCCACACGCCTCTAAGTCTTGGTTTTTCCCGCAGATCTATGTCAGCGTGCCAGGCTCCAAGAAGATCATCCTGGAGCTGCCTCTGGTCATCGGGAGTCGCTCCGGCATCGGCAGCCGCAGCTCCAGCATGGCCAGCCAGACCAGTTCTGAGATGAGCTGGGTGGACCTGAACCTCCCTGATGCCCCCGAGGGTGAGCGGGGTGGGCTCCGCAGGGTGGGCTCCGCAGGGTGGGCTCCGCAGGGTGGGCTCCACGGGGTGGGCTCCACGGGGTGGGCTCCGCAGGGTGGGCTCCGCAGGGCGGGCTCCGCGGGGTGGGCTCCACAGGGTGGGGTCCCTGACTGGCGGGCTCGCAGAGCGCGGGGACCCCCCGAAACGCGCACGGCCGAGCTCACCGGCCTCTCCCTGCACCCCCGCAGCCCCCCCGTGCTACCTGGACATCGTTCCCGAGGATCACCGGCTGGAAAGCCCCACCACGCCCCTCCTGGATGATCCCGATGGATTCGACAGCCCCATCTTCATGTACGCCCCCGAGTTCAAGTTCATGCCTCCCCCCACCTACACGGAGGTGAGCGCGGCGCCGGCGCGGGAGGGGCCCGGTGGGTCTGTGGTCGCCGGCCTGCATCCCTCACCCTCCTCCTGCTCCGTGGGCCAGGTGGATCCCTGCACGGCCAACAACAACACCAGCAGCACCAGCAACAACAACAGCAACAACAACAGCAACAGCAACAACAACATCCAGTGAGATCCACACCCACGCCGGGGGGTCGCTCCCGCTTGCCTGGACTCGGCTCCTTGTGCCACACACCTGCAGCACATCTGGGAGAACAGCTGGAGGGGCTCCCGAGGAGCTGCTGCATCCCCAGGAGCTGCTGCATCCCGAGGAGCTGCTGCATCCCCAGGAGCTGCTGCATCCCAAGGAATTGCTGCATTCCCCATCCCGAATCTCGAGGAAAAAAACAAAAAAAACCCTCAAGGACCTGTTGGGGAGACGAGGCAGATCCAGCTGGGAAAAAAAGCTGGAAAACCTCGTGGCGGTTGGGACACAACGCTGCCTGTCCGCGCCCTGTGGCGACACGTGGTGACAGGGAATAGTGGTTTTGATGAATTCCATCTTAATTTTGTAACTCTGGGTGCTGCTCTGGCTGCCCCGCGCTCCCGCCGAGGGAGGGGGGCGCTGTGAATCCGTCCTGTCGTGACACGACGCTGATGTCGCGACCTTTTGTACTCTGGTTTTGTACATAGCCTTTCGGGGAGGGGAGGGGGAAAGCACAAAAATGCAAATTTTGTACCTTTTCGTGGCCCCTGGGGGGCGAAATTTGTAATAAACTTGTAATAAATAAATGAAACAGTTCCCTTGCCTCGGGTCTGTCACCTCGGGGGTGGGAGGGTGGCAGAAACCCCTTTGGAATCGGGACTGATGGTAGTTATTTTCCCAATTTCTGGGTTTTTTGGGAGCAGCCCTGGGGGAGTTTCTGGCATTTTTTTGGGAGCAGCCCTGGGGGAGTTTTTGGGATTTTTTTGGGAGCAGCCCTGGGGGAGTTTCTGGCATTTTTTTGGGAGCAGCCCCGAGGAGGTTTCCTGGTTTTTCCAGGAGCAAAAAAGCAAAAAAAAACCAAAAAACCACTAAGCAGAAAAACAACACAAAAAAGGGAAAGCGAAGCACAGAGAGACGAGAACAAGCTGTGGGGCGCCGAGTGGGGAAACTGAGGCAGGAAAAAAACTGGAACTGCTTTTCCTGCCTTTTTTTGGCCCTGCCCTGGGAGCACCCCCGGCTCGTTTTTGGCATCTGGGTGAAAGGTTTCGCTGCCCACCACCGAGGCCGTGACCTTGGCTTTGCTCCTCGCCCTTTTTCCCACTTGGAGCCCCCCCAAAAATCCCTCTGCCCCCCCAGCTTTATCCCAGTTTTTCTTTGGAACTGGAGCTGTCCTGGCTGCTGGCCAAGGAGGCAAAGGGTCACCCTGGGCTGGGCTGGGAGAAGGGGGGCACGGACAGCCCCCCAAATCAGACACTCCCAGTCCCCTCCTGGCCTGAAAATAATTGATTTTTTTTTTTTCCCCCCCCTGGAAAAATCAGCAGCACCCCCAAAACTCCCCCTCCCCACCCCAAACCGAACCCTGCCCCTCTCCCCTCCCCAGTTTACAGCTCTAATTAAACTAATTAAGGTCATAAACCTCTCCCGGTATTCCCGTGGCTGGCCTTGGTGCCAGAGCAGATCTGGGGGTTCAGCCTGACCCCTCCCTGGTTTTTTGGGAGATGAAAAAAACCCCAAAAAACCCCCAAAACCCCCCAGTTTCTCCCCCCTCCCTCCCCATGGTTTGGGAGCAGCGCTCAGCCCTGTGCTCTGGAAATTCCTGCCCGGTTCCAACTGGGCCAAAGGGCCTGGGCTAAACTGGGAGCACTGGGAGCAGGGGAGGAATTCCAGGGTGGGAATATGGGATGGGCATCAGGGTGGAAGCACCCAGAAATGGGGCAGACCCCACAACACCGGGGAAACTGAGGCACGCGGGCGGGGGTGCCAAATATCCCAAGGGATTTGGGCACCTCGCCCAGCCCCCAAATCCTTCCCCAGGCTGGGTGGGGGGGGGACAGAAGCCACCCCCAAAAGCTCCAGATTTCTGGAAAGAGGGGAGAAAAGAGGAAAACGGGGATAAAAAGGGCACGGGATAAAAAAAAAACCCAGGGATAAAAAGCTGGAAATCCACAATTGCTGGAACGTTCTTGGCCTCAAACAGGAACTGGCTGGGGAGGGGGGGCAGGGGGGGCCAGCATGTGACGCTCATGTGAGCAGCCCTGGGGCACAAACACACCCCCCCGTGAGGGAAAAAACCTCTCCTTCCTCCTAAAAACCTCACACTGCATTTCCCCAAAACAGCTCCCCCCGCCCCAAAATCTCTATCCCCACCAAAACACCCCCCCCCAGCAAAAATAGCCTCAAAAAGGGGCTCTACCCCCCCAAAAATCCACGTTTTCTCACTACAAAAACTCATCCCTGAAAAACAAAATACCTTTCCCTCCCCAAAAATCCACCTTATCCCCTAAAATATGATTTAAAAAATGCGCCTTGCCCCTCCGAAGAACACCTCCCCCCACAATAAAGCAAAGTTTCCTCCCTCAAAAATGCACCTTCCACCAGAAACATACATTTCCCTCCCCAAAAAGACATCTTTTCTCCCCAAAAAGACATCTCTTCTCCCCAAAAATGCATCTCGACCCACAAGGAGTTACCTTTCCCTCCCCAAAGCTATACCTTTACTCCCCAAAAATCCACCATCCCACCCCAAAAAATCCTCTTCTCCCCCCTCAAAAAAAACTTTATCTTCCAAAAATCACTTTTTCCACCGTAAAAAAACCACTTTCCACTCCCGGTAAAACTTTTCCTCCCAAAATACCTTTCCTTCTTTCTAGAAACACATTTTCCATCTCAAAAAAAACCACATTTCATCCCCCCAAAACCCCTCTCCCCATTTCTAACCCCTCTTAACCCCCTTACCCAACCCCTCCCCGCGCAAAAAAAACACCAAAGCCGAGCCAAAAATACCAAAAAACCTTTTAAATTCACACAAAATCCACCCAAAAAAAAGCCCCAAAATTTGGGGAGGGGTCCCGCCCCACCCTCCGGGCCTGGAGCACCGGCGCCACCTGGTGGTGACAAGGGGAATGACAGGCGGGCGGGGACCCCAAGGGGGGACAGGGACCCCAATGTCCGGGCGGGGACCCCAAGGGGGGACAGGGACCCCAATGTCCCCAAGGGGACCCCAAGGGGGGACAGGGACCCCAATGTCCCCAAGGGGACCCCAAGGGGGGACAGGGACCCCAATGTCCCCAAGGGGACCCCAAGGGTGTCCCCGCTGTCCTGGGGAGGGGACAGGGACCCCAGTGTCACCAAGGGGACCCCAATGTCCCTAGTGGATAACGGGGTGTCCCCGGGGGAGGTGAGGGCACCGGGGTGAGGGGGTCCCCACTGTTCCGTGGGTCTCTGCTGTGCCAGGGCTGTGGGGCAGTGCCCGTTTCGGGGTGCCCGTTTTTGGGGTGCCCATTTCGGGGTGCCCATTTTGGGATGCCCATTTTGGGGTGCCCATTTCGGGGTGCCCATTTCGAGATGCCCATTTTTGGGGTGCCCATTTTGGGGTCCCCGTTTCGGGGTGCCGTTTGGGGTGCCCATTTCGGGGTGCCGTTTTCGGGGTGCCCGTTCCCGGGCTCAGTACACCGCCTCGTCGCCGTTGTCGTCGCTGTCGGGGCCGAAGCTCTCCCCGTTGTCGAAGTAGGACAGGACGTAGTCGGTCTCCTGGGGGGACACGGGGGGGGCACGGTGGCACCCGGGGACCCCTGAGCCCCCACCAACCCCCCCGGGACCCCCCTCTTTTTTCACCTCTTCGTGCTCCTCCTCATCGTACTCCTCCTCCTCCTCCTCCTTCCCCTCTTCTTCCTCCTCCTTCTCCTCTTCCTCCTCTGACGTCACCTCCTCCTCCTTCTTCTCCAGGCTCTGGGGGGGGCTCAGGGAATGTCACCGGGGGGGGGACAAAAAAAAACCCAAAATCCACCCCCGACCTTCCCCGCCCCGGTACCTCCAGCTTCTTAATGGCCTCCTCCTTGTCCAGTGTCACCTGCTTCTTGGGGACGAGGGCAGCGGGCCCTGGGGGGGCACAGGGGACTGTCACCCCCCCCGGGGGACACTGGGGACACACGGGGGGGGGCAGGGGGGGACACTCACGGCCTTTCCGCAGCCGCCGCACGCGGATCTTCAGCTCCCGCGGGAGCGGGGGGCCGCCGCCAGTCTGGGGGGGCAGAACGGGGCGAAGGGGGGGTTGGGGGGACCCCAAAAAAGCCCCACGTGCCCCCCAGGACCCCCCCCCACCGTGTCCCCTCACCTGGGTTCCAGTCGATGGCGTTGTCCACGGGGTTGGAGAGCTGGTACTTGTCCGAGTAGCGCTCGATGTCTGCGGGGGCATGGGGGATTTGGGGACGTTTTGGGGGGATTTGGGGGCGTTTTGGGGGGATTTGGGGGCATTCTGGGGGGATTTGGGGACGTTTTGGGGGATTTGGGGACAGCCACCCCCAGGGATACCCGTGGGACACACGTGGGGATGGATGGATGATGGCACGAGGTGGGGGGGATGAAATGGGGGCAATAAAAAATTGGGATAAAATGGGGGGGAGAAAATGAGTGGGATGAAAAATGGGAATAAATAATGGGGGGAATAAAATGGGGGGGGATAAATAATGGGAAGAAAAAGGGGGGAATAAATAATGGGGGGGATAAAATGGGGGGGGAATAAATAATGGGAATAAAATGGGAATAAAACGGGGAGGGGAAATAAAACGGGGGGGAGGAATAAAAAAAATGGGGGGGGAATAAATAATGGGAATAAAATGGGAATAACATGGGGAGGAGGAATAAAATGGGGGGGGAATAAATAATGGGAATAAAATGGGAATAACATGGGGAGGAGGAATAAAATGGGGGGGGAATAAATAATGGGAATAAAATGGGAATAACATGGGGAGGAGGAATAAAGAGGGGGAGGAATAAATAATGGGAATAAAATGGGAATAACATGGGGAGGAGGAATAAAATGGGGGGGGAATAAATAATGGGAATAAAATGGGAATAACATGGGGAGGAGGAATAAAATGGGGGGGGAATAAATAATGGGAATAAAATGGGGAGGGGGAATAAAACGGAGAGGAATAAATAATGGGAATAAAATGGGGAGGGGGAATAAATGGAGAGGAATAAATAATGGGAATAAAATGGGGAGGGGGAATAAATGGAGAGGAATAAATAATGGGAATAAAATGGGGAGGGGGAATAAATGGAGAGGAATAAATAATGGGAATAAAATGGGGAGGGGGAATTAAACTGGGGGGAACAAACGGGGGGGGCTGGGGGCTCCGGTGGGCTCCGGACACGCCCTGCCCGCCAGGCAGAGCATTTGGGATGAGCCCCCCCGTGCCCCCCGTGCCCCCGGGCCGGTACCTCTGCGGGGCGCCCCCGGTTTCACGAAGTAGGGCAGGGCCCGCGTGGCCCGGCGCAGCTCCTGCTTCAGCGCCAGCATGTACTCGCCCTCCTCGCCACCGGGCAGGGGCACGGCGCGGCGCTCCAGCGCCTGCGGGGCGGATGGCATGGGGGTGGCATTGGGGGGGAATGGCAACTTTTTGGGGAGAAAAATGGCATTTTGGGGGGAAATGTCAGTTTGGGGGGAAATGGCATTTTGGGGGATAAACGGCACTTTGGGGAAAATGGCATTTTGGGGGGGAATGGCACTTTGGGGGGGAAATGGCATTTTGGGGGAAATGGCATTTTGGGATCAGGTTTTTGGCAAATATCAGGGAGTGACGCCGGGGGAAACGGCGTGAATGGAAAGGTCTTGGGTTGAAATTTCTTCAATTTTAAACTTCGTTAATTGAAATGTCTTAAATTCAAATTTCTTAAATTGAAATTTCTTAATTTGAAATTTCTTGAATTGAAATGTCTTAAATTCAAATTTCTTAAATTGAAATGTCTTAAATTCAAATTTCTTAAATTCAAATTTCTTGAATTGAAAGGTCTTAAATTCAAATTTCTTAAATTGAAATGTCTTAAATTCAAATTTCTTAAATTCAAATTTCTTAAATTGAAATGTCTTAAATTCAAATTTCTTAAATTGAAATGTCTTAAATTCAAATTTCTTAAATTGAAATGTCTTAAATTCAAATTTCTTAAATTCAAATTTCTTGAATTGAAATTTCTTAAATTGAAATTTCTTAAATTGAAATTTCTTAAATTGAAATGTCTTAAATTCAAATTTCTTGAATTGAAATGTCTTAAATTCAAATTTCTTAAATTGAAAGGTCTTAATTTGAAATTTCTTGAATTTTCTCTCTCTTATTTTAAAGCCAGTTAATACTGAGACAGTCCATTTCTGGAGTGTGTGTTCAATGAGTTTTAGGTTGTAACCTGATTTAAAATACAAAGTGTGCAGTGGGGTATTTTTTAAATGCAGGAATGAGGCACTCCCACAAGGACAGCAGCCCCAGGACCCCTGAATCCTTCAGAGAAAAAGAATTTACTATTTGCTACGAAAAGCAATGGAAAACTAGAATTTACTATGAATAAATTATACATTATCATATATAATACTAAATTAAAAATATTACTAGTTTAATAACCATTTCATTTATTACTATCAATAAATTATATATATACTATATAATACTATATTACTATTATATTGCTATTTTACTAACAATTTCATTACTATCCATAAATTATATATTATGATATATAATACTATACCAATATTATATTGCTATGTTAATAACAATTTTATTGATTACTACTAATAAATTATATTCATTTATTACTATCAATAAATTCTATATTATACTATATAATACTGTATCAATATTATATTGCTATTTTAATAACAATTTTATTTATTACTATCAGTAAATTATATATTAGAATATATAATACTATATTAATATTATGTTGCTATTTTAACAACCATTTCATTTATTACTATCAATAAAGTTCCCGTGCTCCCCATCCCTGTCCCGGTGTGTCCCTCCCGGTGCTGATCCCAGTCCCGGTGCCCCCCCGGTTCCCGTGCTCCCCACCCCCGTCCCGGTGCCCTGTCTCTGTGCACCGCCCAACCCCCACGGCCTCCCCCGGTGGCTCCCGGTCTCGGTCCCCGTCTCCAACCCCGTTCCTGGGTGCTCCCGGTGGCCCTCCCGGTCCCGGTATCCCCTCATACCCCGGTCCCGGTCCCGGTATCCCCTCGTACCCCGCTCCCGGTCCCGGTATCCCCTCGTACCCCGCTCCCGGTCCCGGTATCCCCTCGTACCCCGCTCCCGGTCCCGGTATCCCCTCGTACCCCGCTCCCGGTCCCGGTATCCCCTCGTACCCCGCTCCCGGTCCCGGTATCCCCTCGTACCCCGCTCCCGGTCCCGGTATCCCCTCGTACCCCGCTCCCGGTCCCGGTATCCCCTCGTACCCCGCTCCCGGTCCCGGTATCCCCTCGTACCCCGCTCCCGGTCCCGGTATCCCCTCATACCCCGGTTCCGTTCCGGTATCCCCTCGTACCCCTCTCCCGATCCCGGTATCCCCTCATACCCCGCTCCCGGCGTCGCTCCCGGTGTCGCTCTGCGCAAGCGCAGTCGCTCCCCACGTGTGCGCGGCCGCCGCGGCCCCGCCCCGCGCAGAGGGGGCGGAGCTTGAACGCAAGCCCCGCGCTGATTGGTGTGTTCAAGCGAGGGGCGGGGCCTAGAGCGGGATCAATGGAGGGGGCGGGGCTGGGGGATCAAAAGGGGGATGAAAAATAGATTAAAAATGGATGAAAAACGGATAAAAAGGGGATGAAAAAATGGATGAAAAGGGAGATCAAGAGGTCTCTCAGCGCCCCACGCGCGGATCCTCCCAGCCCCTCTGCCCTGGGGTAGCTCAGCCACCCCAGCCCTGCCCTGCTGTGCCCCCCAGTCCCGCTGCCCCCAGCCCCACTATCTTGGGAGCCCCCGACCCGCTGCCTCACTGCCCCCAGCCCCACTATTCTGGAACCCCCAGCCCCGCTGCCCCACGCAGGGCTGGGCGCTGGATGCGCCGTGGGTGATTCATCCTGCTCCAACCCCCCCCCGCGCCGGCAGCTGCCAAAAATAGCGCTGCGGGAGGGGGGGGACCCTCCACATCACCTCCCGTCCCCCCCGCCTCACCGGCGGCAGGCCGGGATGGCGGCCACGGGCCGCTGTTCCCGACAGCCCCGTCCCCGGGGCCGCGGGAACCGGGACCAGGGACCCCAAGCTCCGGTAGCCACGGTAAAATGGGGATGGAGAGGGGCTGGGTGGGGGGGTCCCCGCTGCCAGGGGGGGGACGGGACAGCCCGCAGGCCCGAGCTTGGGGATGAATCACGAGGGGACCGGGGGGATTCTTCCCCGTTTTCCCGGGGGGTCGGAGCGGGATGAGCGGCCGTCGCCATGGGAACCGGGAAGGCAGGGATGGGGTACGGGCGGGGATCGGGGTACCGGCAGGGATAGGGGTACCGGCAGGGATAGGGGTACCGGCAGGGATTCGGGGTACCGGCAGGGATGGGGGTACCGGCAGGAATGGGGTACCGGCAGGGATGGGGCTGTGGACAGGGAGAAGCAGGTGGGGCAAAAGGAGCAGGGGGAGGAGGATGAGGAGGGGGCGCAGGAAGGCATTCGAGGAACGCGGCAGGAGCGGGCGGGCTCTGGCGATGCGGGCAGCGTGGACCCTCGGGAACCCTCCCTCGCTGGGGAAACTGAGGCAGGGAGCGGGGACACCCCATGCTGGGGGACTCGGGGGTCTCACCGCAGCCCGTCCCCTCGCAGTGAGCGAGTGCCGCCGCCGTCCCCCGTGAGCCCGGCCATGCCCAGCGCCGCGGTGCCACCGGGGGGGCTCCCCATGATCCCGGCCGAGGGCTCGGCGCTGCTGCGCGCTGTATCCCAAGGGAAATTCCGCCTGACCCGCCTGCTGCTGGAAGGGGGAGCCTACATCAACGAGGGCAACGCCGCGGGCACCACGCCGCTGATGGCGGCGTGCCGGGCCGGCTACGCCGAGCCGCCCGAACAGCCGCGGATGGTGCAGTACCTCCTGGAGAACGGAGCCGACCCCAACATCCCCGACAAAGCCGGCAAAACCGCGCTCATGCACGCCTGTGCCGAGCGCGCCGGCCCCGCGGTGGTCGCCACTTTGCTGGCCCACGGTGCCGACCCCAGCGCCCGGGATTACGGCGGGGGCTCGGCGCTGCTCTACGCCCTGGAGCGCGGGGACCGGGAGACGCTGCAGGCGCTGCTGGACGCGTGTCGGGAGCGCGGGCGCGATGTCATCATCATCACCTCGGCCACGTCGCCCCGAGGCACCAAGACCACCCGGCAGTACCTGAACTCGCCGCCGTCGCCCGCTCTGTGCGCGTCCCCGTCGCAGGTGCAGGTGCGGGCGGCGGCGTCGCCGGGAGCCACCGGGAGGGACGAGGAGCGCGACGTGTTCCGCTTCCCACCCGCTCCAGAACCGGCCCGGGCCGGGCCCAAGCGGCAGCTGAAGAGGCTGAACTCGGAGCCGTGGGGGCTGGCGGTGCCGGGGGTGGAGGGGATGCGCGGGGGACACTCGGAGGGGACACAGGGACCCCCAGAGGGAGCACGGAGAGCCTTAGATGAGATACTGGGAGCCCCGGAGGGGACAAGGAGACCCTCGGAGGGGACACGGGGACCCTCAGAAGGGTCGTGGGGGTCTCCTGAGGGGTCACCGGAAGGGACCTCGGTCCCCCCGGAGCGGCTGGCGGCGGGGCTGGAGGGGCTGCGGCTGCGCCCTCGCCGGCACAGCGTGGAGGGACGCGAGGTCTCCGGGCTGCCAGCGGCCACCTGGGCAGAACGCGTGCCCGCCGTGCCCGCTCCGGGCCGTTTCCCTCCCGATCCTCCACGGGGCAAACCCTTACGCCGGGAACCCGAGCTAGGCACCGCTCCCGGGCCGCTGCGGCTGCTGGAGCGCCGCGGCTCCGGAACGCCGGCCCCGGAGCCGCCCGGGCCGGGCAGGGCCGGGCTGCTGCCCCCGCTGCCCCCCCGAGCGCTGCTCCGCCGCCACTCCATGCAGCCGGAGGCGCTGCGGCACCTCGGGGGCTTCTGCGGGGGGCTGGCTGCCGAGCCCGGCTCTTAGGGACCCCTCCCCAGCGTTATAGAGACCCCCCCCCAAGGCTAGGATCCCTTGGGGAAAGCCTCGCCCTGGGTGGGGGCTTGCTCTGAACCCTGCCGAGGGTCGACTCTTCCATCCCTCTGTCGGCACAAACTCTGCACGAGCCCGAATTTGGGGAGCTGGGGGGTGCACCCCAACTCCCAGCCCCCCCCCCAGTGTCCCCCTCCTGCTCCTGCCTCATTTTCCCAGCAGCTTTTTCCCCCAGGGTCTGGCATTAAAGGCCCCAGGGCAGCTCAGTGGCTCTGAGTGGGCACATCTGTGGGCTTGGGGCACAGCTGTTGCATCCCAATGCCAGTTTTAAGGGAAAAAAAAAAAAAAAAAAGGTTTTTCAAGACCTGAGTTGTTCTAATGCCAGGCTGAGAGGGATCCCCAGGATCCTTGGGGATCCAGCAGCTTGGATGGAGAAGGATTTTAGGGAAAGGGGCTTGGGAGATTTAATGAAGGACAAAGAACAAGAAGACAAACTTAGACAAAATCTCGTTATTTGACACAAAACAAGGAATGCCCAGTGGGATAAATACCATGGGAGATTTAGAGACCATTTGCCTGGGGCATGGAAGAAACTCCCAGAATATTCTGGGATGGGAGGCTGGGAGGGATCCCCCCAAAGCCAAGGGAAATCCCCCCAACCCTCAGAAACTGCTGCTTCCCTCATACTTGTCCTTTGAAAACAATAAAATTCCATAAAACCCACATTCCTCCAGGGATGGAGCTGGTTTGGCTCCTCGAGGCTGTGTACAGAGCCCAGTTCTCCCAGTTTCCCCCCAGTCTGGAGGTGGAACACCAATGGGTGCAGGTTTGGATCCATCACCGGCGGCGTCGGTCCGGACTGCGGCTCCGCCGGCGCCCACCCCTGGGAAACAGGGAACAGGTGGGGAAGGGAAAGGGGAAAAAAGGGGAAAAGGGAATGGGGGAAAAGAGGAAAAGGGAATGGGGAATGGAGAGAGAGAAAGGGGGAAAGGGAAGCAAGGGGGAGGAAAGAGGAAATGGGGGTAAAGAGGGTAAGGGCATGGGGAAAGTAAAGAAAGGGAAAAAAGGGGGAGGAAAAAGGGGAAATGAGAGGGAAAAGGGTACAGGGAATGGGGAAAGAGAGAGAAAGGGGTACAGGAAATGGCAGAAAGGGAAAAGGGAGGGAAAAAGGTACAAGAAATATGGGAAAGGAATGGGAAAAGGGTACAGGAAATGGGGGAAGGAATGGGAAAAGGGAGAGAAAAAGGTACAAGAAACATGGGAAATGAATGGAAAAAGGGTACAGGAAATGGGGAGAGGGAAAGGGGTACAGGAAATGGAAGAAAGGAAAGGGAAAAGGGAGAGAAAAAGGTACAAGAAATACAGGAAAGGAATGGGAAAAGGGTACAGGAAATGGGGAAAGGAATGGGAAAAGGGTACAGGAAATGGGGAGAGGGAAAAGAGTACAGGAAATAGGGGAGAGAGGGAAGGGAGGCATTTTGGGGTGTTTACCACTATTTTAACCCCACCACCCCCATAACGGCGCATGGAACTCCCCCATTCCCCTCGCCCCCCACAAGTCCCTCCCACTGCCAGCTCCTGGGATTCCCAGGGATTCCCAGGAATTCCCTCACCTCCTCTTGCCCTTGGGGGGGCCCCTGACGAAGCACCAGTCCACGCTGACGGGCTGCCCCATGAGCTCCTGCCCGTTGAGCCCCTCCATGGCCGCCTGCGCCTCCTTGTAGGTCTCGTACTCCACCAGCGTGTAGCCCTGGGGTGGGAACGGGGCAGGAACGGGATGGGAATGAGACAGGCACCAGGGGAGCCCAGCTCTGGGGGGCACAGACCCCCCAGCACCCAGGTTTAGTGATGGGAATGAGCCCAGCCCAGCTCTGGGGGGCACAGACCCCCCAGCACCCGGGTTTAGTGATGGGAATGAGCCTGGGCACTGGGGGAATTCCCAGCCCAGCTTTGGGGGGCACAGACCCCCCTAACTCCCCGGGTTTAGGACTGGCAATGAGCCCAGCTCAAATTTGGGGTGCACAGACCCACTAGCCCCCCAGGTTTAGGACTGGGAATGAGCCCAGCCCAGCTCTGGGGGGCACAGCCCCCCCAGCACCCGGGTTTAGTGATGGGAATGAGCCTGGGCACTGGGGGAATTCCCAGCCCAGCTTTGGGGGGCACAGACCCCCCTAACTCCCCGGGTTTAGGACTGGCAATGAGCCCAGCTCAAATTTGGGGTGCACAGACCCACTAGCCCCCCAGGTTTAGGACTGGGAATGAGCCCAGCCCAGCTCTGGGGGGCACAGCCCCCCCAGCACCCGGGTTTAGTGATGGGAATGAGCCTGGGCACTGGGGGAATTCCCAGCCCAGCTTTGGGGGGCACAGACCCCCCAGCCCCCCGGGTTTAGTGATGGGAATGAGCCCAGACACCAGAGGAATTCCCAGCTCAGGTTTGGGGGGCACAGACCCCCCTAACACCCCGGGTTTAGGACTGGGAATGAGCCCAGCTCAAATTTGGGGTGCACAGACCCACTAGCACCCCAGGTTTAGGACTGGGAATGAGCCCAGCTCAAATTTGGGGTGCACAGACCCACTAGCACCCCAGGTTCAGGAATGAGGATGAGCACAGACACCAAGGGAACTCAAATTTGGGGTGCACAGACCCCCTGACACCCCAAGTTTAGCGTTGGGAATGCCCCCAGGCATTGGGGGAATCCAGCTCCCAGCCCAGTTTTGGGACCTCCCAATAAATCAAATTTTGAGGTGCAGATAGCCCCAGAACCCCCAGAATTGGCTCAGTTTGGGGGGCACCCCTAGCACCTCCCACCCTGGAGCATCCCCCAGGCTGAGATGGAGCTTGGGGGGGTCCCCAAAAGCGCCCCCTCCCCACCTTCAGGTATCCCGTGCGCCGGTCCAGGTTCAGGTGGATGTTTTTGATCTCCCCAAATTCAGCAAATCTGTCGTGCACGTCCTCCTCCGTGGCCTCCTCGTGCACCCCTGTCACAAAGAGGATCCAGCCCTCCACGGCTGGGCAGGAAAAAGGGGGGTCACAGGGCTGGGAATGGAGCTTCACCCCCCAAAATCCTCGGGGAGGGGGGACACGGAGCCCCCCGGGGATGAGATTTGGGGCTCCACGGCCGTGTGAGATGGGGCAGAAGTGATGCTGGCAAGGGGGGGAGCAATCATCCCACGTGGCCCCAGTTCCTCCTCCTGGCTGTGCTGGGTCCCCAATAAAGGCTTTGGCACCCCAAAATCACTCCTTTTTCCCAGCTAGGAAGGGAGGATTGAGGCCCAGAGCCTCCAAACCCTGGGTGAGGTTGGGAAGAGCTCATCCCAGCAGGGCTGAACCCAAATCCAGATGCCATTCCCACGGGGAAAGTGCTGCTGGTGATGCTTGGAGGGGACATGGGGCCCTCAGGAAGGAGCATCTCCCCCAAATTTCCCCATTCCCACCTTGGAGCAGGGGTTTGCCCTAAAATAAAATCCTGGGAATGCAAAGAGATTGTCCCAGCCTAAAATAAATCCTGGGAATGAAGGAAATGAAAGGAAGGGATTGTCCCAGCCTAAAGAAATCCTGGGGATGAGGGAAGTGAATTTCCCAGCCTAAAAAAATCCTGGGAATGAGGGAAATGATTGCCCCAGTCTAAAGGAATCCTGGGAATGAAGAAAGTGAATTTCCCAGCTGAAAGAAATCCTGGGAATGAGGGAAAGGATTGTCCCAGTCTAAAGAAATCCTGGGAATGAGGGAAAGGATTGTCCCAGTCTAAAGAAATCCTGGGGATGAGGGAAGTGAATTTCCCAGCATGAAATAAATGCTGGGAATGAGGGAAGGGATTGTCCCAGTCTAAAAAAATCCTGGGAATGAAGAAAGTGAATTTCCCAGCCTAAAGAAATCCTGGGAATGAGGGAAGTGAATTTCCCAGCCTAAAAAAATCCTGGGAATGAGGGAAATGATTGCCCCAGTCTAAAGGAATCCTGGGAATGAAGAAAGTGAATTTCCCAGCTGAAAGAAATCCTGGGAATGAGGGAAAGGATTGTCCCAATCTAAAGAAATCCTGGGAATGAGGGAAGTGAATTTCCCAGCCTAAAAAAATCCTGGGAATGAGGGAAGTGAATTTCCCAGCCTAAAAAAATCCTGGGAATGAGGGAAGTGAATTTCCCAGCCTAAAAAAATCCTGGGAATGAGGGAAGTGAATTTCCCAGCCTAAAAAAATCCTGGGAATGAGGGAAGTGAATTTCCCAGCCTAAAAAAATCCTGGGAATGAGGGAAGTGAATTTCCCAGCCTAAAAAAATCCTGGGAATGAGGGAAGTGAATTTCCCAGCCTAAAAAAATCCTGGGAATGAGGGAAGTGAATTTCCCAGCCTAAAGAAATCCTGGGGATGAGGGAAGTGAATTTCCCAGCATGAAATAAATGCTGGGAATGAGGGAAGGGATTGTCCCAGTCTAAAGAAATCCTGGGGATGAGGGAAGTGAATTTCCCAGCATGAAATAAATGCTGGGAATGAGGGAAGGGATTGTCCCAGCAGGGCTGCAGAGCCCCAAATCCCCACCTTGGGAAGGGGATACGAAACTGGGATTTGCCCTAAAATAAATCCTGGGAAAGAGGCAAAGCAAGGGATTGCCCCAGCCTAAATAAATCCTGGAATGGGAATGGGAATGAGGGAGGGGAGCAAGCCAGCAGGGCTGCAGAGCCCCTCGAAGCCCCTCACATCTCTGTGGCCCCGGCTCGTCCCCGTCCTGCTCCACGCTGTCGTAATCTTCGCGCACCCGAGCGCGGGATCCTTCCTCTGCAGACAAAAAAAGGGGGGCAAGGAGGGGACCCCCAAACTCCAGGGGTCACCCGGAGCGCCAGGGGAGGGGTTTGGGGGTGTCTGGGGGGGGTCTCACCTGAGCCAAAGCCACGGCCCTTCCTCTTCTTGGCCTTTTCTTTCAGCTTGTGGATGCTCTCTGGTGGGAATTGGGGGGTGTGGGGTCAGCAGGAGCAGGGAGCCCCCCCAAAAGGGACAGGGACCCCTCGTCCTGGCTGGGAATGAACCCCCTGGGAATGAGACCTGCGTTGGGAATGACCCCCCTGGGAATGAGACCTGGGGTTGGGAATGAGCCCCCTGGGAATGAGCCCCGGGGTTGGGAATGAGCCCCCTGGGAATGAGACCTGGGATGGGAATGAGCCCTGGGGATGAGTCCTGGGATGGGAATGAGCCCCCTGGGAATGAGTCCTGGGATGGG